GTATTAATCTCTTCCATTCCCATCCCATCCACTTTTTCCAGTTACTTCAAGTATACTTTTTTTCTTGACTACTGTGACATCTTCCCAACCCTCTCCCCACTTTCTTTCTCTTCCCCTAGAACCCATTCTATAATCATTTAATGACTATGATCTCACCAAATCAGTATAAAATTCCAATCTCTGAGAGTCGGGACCTTCTGCAACAGAGACCCCAATCTACCTTTCCAAATAGGTCACTTGCTCCAGCTAGCATTTCCATCTCTATGCTTTTCTTGGTCCATCCTTCTGAACCAGCTTCCTTCTTCCTCCCACAGATGCAACTTTCAAAATTTTACCCACCCTTTGAGTTCATCTATAATGCTCCTTAAACACATGTACCCATGGAAGGCAGCTGGATGAGGGCTGGAGCAGATTGCTGTAAGGCAGGGGGCACTCCAGAAATCCATGGATGGCTCCAGGGGAATTTATGAATGTCCTAAGTTTTATGAAGAAGAAAAAAGTACATTTTTGCAGAGATGACTTTTACCAAATTTAAGGAACCTAAAAAGATTTCAAGTTACCTAGAGACAACTTCCCTCCCAGTTTTCTCAGCATCAACCACGATGCACCTGCATTGGATCCACTTGTCTAATTTCCCTCTAAACCATAGGGGATGGGTTCTGTCACCGTCTTGATATCACCCAGCGCCTTCCCTGGCACTCCTCACAATTATAGTGAATATCTGCTAATTGTCATGCATAGTGCTCAATGATGAGGGTAAGGAAATGAAAGGTGAGCTCCCTGCCTTCATGGAGCAAGTACAGGCTAGTGAGCAAGGCATACAGTTAAACCCACAATTAAAATAGTTTGTGAAAAATATTCTACTGGAATAAGCATTGACAAAGAATATCCCAGTCGGGCCTGGGGTGGTCAGGCCATCTCTTTCAGAGATGAGGAATTGGCTGAATCTGGAGGATCAGATAAGGTAGCCAGATACCAGAGGAAGGAAGGATCTTCATGAGAAAGGAGTAGTTTGTGGGAAACACTCCCTACAGCATGGTGTGAGTGGTATGTTTTAGCTCAAAGATGGAATGGACATGATATGGAAAGATTGTCATGAGTTTAGGACTCTGGATTTTATCATGAACAGCATGAAGGAGCCAGTGAAGAATTAAAAGCAGAGGAAGTACATGATACTATTTAAATTTTAGGGCAATCATTTTTGCAATAGGGTGAAAAATGCATTATAGCAGTGAATTCTTAAGAGACTATTCAGATCCTTTAAATAAATCCTATTAGAGGGCTAAATTAATATCATAGTAAGGGAGATGGGGAAAAATGAATCTAGAAATATTTAGAAATTAGAATCAACAAGATACAAGTACTAATTAGATGTAAAGAATGAGGTACAAAGAGGAATCATGAATAACACTTGCATTTCTGGCCTGTGCATCTTAATAATAGGTGGTTATTTCCTGAGACCAGGAATGCAAAAAACAGGGGAAGGAAACTCATGGGTTGAATTTGTAGTTCTTATAGGACTAGTTCCAGAAACTTGAGGGGGCAGCCATTTGCAGGATGGAGAGGGGTGAGAACTGGTCTTGAATGGGTGGGCTGGGGTCTCCACACATATGCACTCAAGGTCCTCAGGGATGAAGCCTTAAGGTTATATATGCATTGGCATCCTATGCTGGTGTTCTGGTCCTCTTAGCCCTGAATTGGGTCCCTGGCAGTAACAGAAGAATCCATCAATACCCATCCTGACATCAGCATCAAAGACAGGTAGGAGGGACTACGAATGAAAGTATGGAAGCCAATGGAATGTTTCTCACCTGCAGTTATACAGATGGAAGACATTGAGAGCCTGGAACAAAGGAGTGGCCTTTGGGGCAGGGAGATTTGAGCAGGTAAGAGATAAGCAGGGTGTATCTCTTCTATCCTCCTATCTCCGTTCTTCAAACTTCTATTTCCTCCCTGAGGTGGCAGTTCTCCCCATCTCCTCTGTGCTCCCTCAGAGCCCCTCCCATTTTCTCCAGGTAGGAGACTTACCCCCAAACTAGACTAAAAGACAGGAAACATGTCTGCTTGGTCTTTCCCCCAGGCCTCTAGGTATAGCATCTAGCACCCAGCAATGTACTGGTACGTGTTTTAGTAGTCACCCTTGGCCCCATGAGTAGGCCCCACCTGTCTCCTTACAGAAGTAAGGCCAGGCGGGACTCCAAACACTCCTCTCCTTTGGGTTCACATAATCAGCGTGGAGCCTTCCCTACTTCCTGTGTGCTCAGAAGCTGCCTGCCCTTCTGAACTGCAAACACGTCTTTAAAAATGAATCACTCCTCCTCAAGATCTACTTCAAAATTTCCAGTGAGTTCTCTTCTTTTTATCTTACCACCCACCACCCAACCCCATTCCCCTCTGTTCCCTGAAATAAACCCTTCTTTTAAACTCATTTACACACTTTTTACTGGAACATTTTATCTAAATTTTGGTATATTCTGCCTATTTCTTACTCAACATAAAAGACAGCTTCTCTTTTTGTTTAAGTGTGGAGTCCTGCACAATATCTTCTTGGTGATAGGCCTTCTTTCAAAGCCTTTCTGAAATATTTTTGCCTGTGCCTGAAAGTCAGTGGAGTTTTGCACAGGGACTGTAATGGCTGAGCCCAAAGCACAGTGGTATAGCTGTCTATTAACCATTTAATACCTCAAGTTTATCACTTTGATGAATAAATAAGTTGTCATTCGCCCAAAGGTCGTATTCTTGAGTGGTAATGGAGAGCTCCATAGCTCATCTTCCTGATACTCATAATTTAGACCAATTTCTTCTAAGAGTATTTAATTGCCCTACCGGTTTGGCTCAGTGGAAAGAACATTGGCCTGTGGATTTAAGGGTCCTGGGTTTGATTCTGGTCAAGGACATATACCTCAGTTTCAGGGTCAATCCCTGGCTCTGGTTGGGGCACATGTGGGAAGCAACCAATTGATGTATCTCTCTCCATCAATGTTTCTCTCTGTCTCTCCCTCTCCTTTCCACTTTCTCTAAAAATCAATGGGGAAAAAATATCCTCAGGTGAGGATTAACAAACTAAGCATTTAATTAATACTCAATTTAATACTTCAATATTCAATTCTATTTTATTCTTCCTAAGACATTTAATTCAACAAATAGTTATTAGGCTCCTATAGAAAAAACTGGCAATTTTCTGTCTCTTCACAGGATATCTAAGATCATCTTGAAAGTTGACCCCCATGTTACAATGTCACCACTGAAGAGAGCTAAGTGTCAGCTGTAAACACTGTCTGGGCTTCTTTTAAGCCATCTCTGAAAATGTTTAGTAAGCCAGTGTCTTATCCTTGATAAGGATGTTCCCCCTGTGATGGTTAATTTGATGTGTCAACTTAGCTTGGCCATGGTGCCCAAATACATGGTCAAATGTTCTTCTGGATGTTTCTATGAGGGGGTTTTGGATAATATTAACATTTAAATCATTGGGACTTTGAGTAAAACAGGTCTCTCCTTTCTCCCTGCCCCACCACTGTGTTGGGTGTCATTGAATCAGTGAAAACATGAATAGGACAAAAGACTGGCCTCCCCTAAACAAGGGAGTATTCTGCCAGCAGATAGCCTTTGGACAGCACAGACTTTTCTTTGGATCTCTAGCCTGCCAGTCCCCCTCCCCACTGCAGATTTTGGATTTGCCTGCCTCCATAATCATGTGAGTGAATTTCTTCTTTAGACACACACACACACACACACACACACACACACACACACACACTTTATTGGTTCTGTTTCTCTGGAGAATCCCAATTAATACACCCCCATTCACCATCTAGGTCTTTGAGGTGGACGATTCCATCTTGGCAGAAAGGTAATTTGGGTAGAGCTAGGTTATTGGAGATTATGCCTAAAGACCTATAAGTATAAGGGAAGAAGGGATTCTCTGGAGGTCTGATCCGTGACTGGGCATATGATGTGGGGGAAAGAATTCCTGGGAGAGCCAAGCAAGAGTAGCCTCTTATAATGGTATCCTGGAAGCAACCTAAGAAATCATATACGTCTCTGAGAGGGTATCAACAATTAATGCAATTTAAGTAATTAAATTTAAAATATGTTGAAATTTGATTTTCAGGGTCCTTTGTGTATTCGTTGTGTATTACTCTGTGAAGTCATTTCATCCAAGACCATAGGGCAGTGATGGCGAACTTACGACACGCGTGTCAGAGGTGACACGCGAACTCATTTTTTGGTTGATTTTTCTTTGTTAAATGGCATTTAAATATATAAAATAAATATCAAAAATATAAGTCTTTGTTTTACTATGGTTGCAAATATCAAAAAAAATTTCTATATGTGACACGGCACCAGAGTTAAGTTAGGGTTTTTCAAAATGCTGACACGCCGAGCTCAAAAGGTTCGCATCATTGCCATAGGGGACTGGAAGATTACCGACTCCACGTTAAAACCATTTTTCTCATACTGGTGTTGACATGGTGCTGGGACCCGTAGTATCTACCCTAATTTGTAGCATTGATTCCCATCCCTATGGCTCATAGAAAGCAGTAAAACTTTTCTTCTCTCAAAGTGTCCACACAAATATGTTCCGTTTTATGCAATGAATGGGCTCCTGAAGATTTATGTGTTGCATACCTTTGTGAATTGCTTTATATATTGAAGACACATTAGAGGAGTTTGCTATTTCAAGAAACTTTGCAAGTACCTCATTTCTTAATGTCATAAGCCATTCTGATTCAAGATCACAACCTCTGTCTAATGTATTAGCATAAGAAGTTCCATTCTGTGCTTAAGAGGTTTAATTAAAGTAAGATAAAACTAAACTTAATAACATTCAATTGCCTGAAAGTTATTGTAGAAATGTCTAATGTATTAGCAAAAAGTAGCTTAATGTCTCAAATAAATGCCAAGTTGTCCAAATCAAACTGATTGACAACCTAATTAGGAATAAATGTCACTGTTATCCATATTTTCCTACATTTTTTCAAAAGAAAACATTCACACGGTGAAGGGAATCAGAATCTATTTTTATATCCCTAGAGTTATAAACATTTGTATCAAAATATTTACAATTATAATATATGAAATATCAATCTATTAAAGAAGAAGCCAAATACAGTACTAGAACAACCCACCAATGTAATGCAGTTACATGAGACATAAATGGCACAGAAACAAAGTAAAAGACATGGGACTACATGGTTCACTCCAGTCATAGTCTGACTTTTTAACATAATGTGATTATCTCTTTTGAATATATCTGATATGTAAGTATGCTTCTGCATGTAAGACAGCCTTCTATAATCATATGATAATTAAATGGTAGTAAAAAGTTTATTATCCCATAGTTTTTGCTTGCCAGCCTCTCTACCTTCAACCCAGATAATTCGGTGGTCGGTCCTCAACATTCCCTTAACCAGAATGAACATAAAGAAATATACTTAGTAAGAGTCCTTTTACATAAATACTAGCAATCATTGCATAACAACTCCCCAAAAAGGAAAATATATAAGAAATGACATGAGGAGAGAGCTAGGAGAAGAAAAGTAGGCAAGATGTCTCAGATTCTCCCTAAGGTAGATCTTCTCAGGGTGATCAAGGAAATGTCTTCCTAAAATAAACCCTTTAGGCAGAATCTGAGATGGCTTAAAATAGCTGCTCCAGGCTAGAGCAGTGTGCCTGCTTAACCAGGAATAACATACTACTTCTAAGTCCTATATAGAAAAGCTCTGTGGCAACAGGCAGATCAATTACCATCTGACCGGGCACCACCAGAGATTTGTGTGTGTGTGTTGTCCTTAAAGAAAATATCTGCCCATCACCTATAATTTTACTTCTCTCACAGAAATTTTCTTATTTTCCTGGGAGCACAGGCACTCCATTCTTATCATGACTTAAATCTAATATGCTTAACACTTTCCAATTACATAGCACCTTTCACCCAAGGACCTATTGTTTGTTTTTGGTTTGTGTGTGTTTCAAAATAAGCTTCCAGAATTGTCTTGCCTCACCTATGAAGCAGGATAGGCAGGCTTTCTGAAAGCTGACCACTCCAGCCAGTGTGAAAGCCAGAGTTGCCTCTGGTCCCCAATATGGATAATTAGATAAAACATCCTAAAAAGTTTATAATTTCGAGGGAGAGTAACAGAGTGCGTTACAAGGAGCTATGTCTGTCTCTCTCATTCTATATTTAAAAGAATCATTGCTTGCAGGGAGAGGGAATCCTAAAATCATAACCCTAATATAGCATTGTTGCAAGACTGCCCCGTGAGCCCATAATTAGTGTGGTGCTTTCACCACAGAATTGGTCGTTTGTGGCATTACAGAAACTCCAGAAGAGCCACCCTGGCTCTAAGCGAGAAGCCTAGCAAAGTCCATAGCAAGAAGTCTCCAGGAGGGACAGCTGTGTGAGGCTGGTCTGGGTTCCACCACCCCCCACCCGCCCCCCAGGCCTTCCACTGTGAAAAGTTCTCTTTCTTGATTTAACTAACCCACCAACTTGGCTTCATGACTATGTCCCTTCCAACCATTTTGTCGCAAATACCACTGAATTGCACAGAGCTAAATATCTGTTTCCAAGAGGGATAATGGCGCGCTAGCCGAAGCCCTCCTGTGGGCCCTTCAGACTGGAATGTGATGTTTTGCTTTGGGTCAGGAGGGCAGGAGGGCAGGAGGGCTTCCAGGCTTAACATACTCAGTACAAAAACTAGATCTGCCCTTGTTGGAACTTGTACCGCTATTTTAACTTGGTGCAGTAGGTCTGAGGACCACAGTGCAAGACCCAGAATTCACCCTCAGAAGCGGAGCCAGTGGTGTGGTAGCTGGTGGGCCTCCCGCAGTGTGTGTAACTGGAGAGAGGCTCTCTGGCCCACATCGAGGGATCATGGAAGTTCTAGCCAACTACTTTCTCCCAAGGGCAGGGGCTTGACAGTAGGAAACCTCCTGAGTAATGGTTTGGGTTTCAGCCTCTCCCACCCTCATGTCCTCCCTCCCCCTCCCCCCTCCCCTGGCTTGGCTTTTCCTGCAGAGCAACTTTCACTTCCCTCCCAGATTCCATGGCTCCCTCCTCCCCACCCCCCAGATCCCCATACACTTGTTCAGACTTATTTCTTTCTCAGGACCAGGTAGAGAATGCCAATGATGAAGCTAAAGCAGAAGCAGATCCAGGTCAGGATGAAGCAATAGCCGTGGTGGCTTTTGATGTATATACTTCCATAACTGCTCCCATAATGATGAGTGTAGATGGATGCCCCGACCATAATGCAAAGCCCTGCAATGGAAAAAAGAAAGTTTAGGTATTTTGTTTGTTTGGAGGGGGGAGAGAAGTTATTTTGATTTCTTTCTTTCTTTCTTCTTTTTACATTAAAATCAAGAACAGGTTTTGTAATTTTAAAAAGATCCTATTTTCTTCATCTGCAATGGGAAAATGAAATCTGGCTGTTTGGTCCCAAACAGTAGTTCTGTTGATCCGCCCTGATCTGAGCTTGGTGGTCCTGTTGATAAATTAGAGTTGCTTGGGCTCTCACATCTGCACTGGGTTGTGGCTGCAAATGTGAAGTGAAACAGAGAACCTTATGCCCACAGTCCAGGCCATGTAGGCAGACTTCCCCAGGATGCAAGCATGCTACCAAATTGGATGTGTGTGGGAAGAATGAAGGAAAAGGAATGAAGTGGCAATAATTGAGAGCAGCGTGGCAGTGGTTTTATCTTTCGAGGACTCCCACCTGTCTGCCCTCTTCAAGTGTCTCATACACAAGTGCTGCTGGTGGGCGGCCCACCACCCCTCGGGGCTGCCTCAGAGCACTAGACTTAAACAAAGAAGCAGACAAGGGTTCTTATTCCAAGCAGCTAGCAAGGGTTTTCAGAAAGAGAACAAATAACCAGACCCATGTGCTCATCTGTTCAAGTTGCCGGGAGCACCCATGGTAAGATCTACTTAAAAGCTTTGCCTGGGTAAACTGGAGTCTGCGCCTGATACTCACAGCACACCAGCATGGTGGCCCCCGAGAGGAAGAAACGGTTTCCCTTCTCCATGGTGAAGAGCTGGAACACGAAGACCACGAGGGAGATGACGGAGAAGATGATGGAGAGGATCATGAAGGCCTGCACTGCCTTGAGCGCATCTGTGGACACAGGGGAAGGAGAGCACGGTGTCAGGCCAACCAATCCCCGACAGGCTGGATGTTTCCCCCATCACATGAATTGTCAGCACTGAATACAATAGCTTTATAGATACCGTCATCGGCATATGGCAGGGGTCCGTCGCAGTTACCGTTGCTGCAGTTTTTCCAAAGACCTACTGATGCTCTTGAAACATCTGAAACCACCCAGACCTGAAATCAGGAGGAAACAAAACATTTTTTTAAAACTGACCCTCTGCTTTAAAAGAAAAAGAAATATCAAATCAGCTTGTGTCAGGAACAAATCTTAAGCAAGACACCATATTTAGCCATACATGTGGCTGTGCAACCCATTTCTTAGTGGAAATGAGATTCAATCCAGATTGTGTTGCCTGGCTAGTGTAACGTGGTGGTTAAGTGTCAAGCTATGAACAGGGTTGTGGGCTCGATCCCCAATAGGGGAGTGCAGGAGGCAGACAACCAATGATTCTCTCTCATCATTGATGTTTCTACCTCTCTCTCCCTCCCTCTTCCTCTCCGAAGTCAATGAAAAAAAAAAAAGAATATATATGTATATATATATATATATATATATATATATATATATATATATATATATATAAAGATTGTGTCATGTAAGGACCTGGCTAAAAAAGGGGAAAAAAATAAGGAAAAATGTTCAACTGGAGACAACTAAGAAACATAGGATAACAAAGAAAATAGCAATGAGTCCTGGTGGTTAATAAGCCACTTTCATCTAAACAGAAGGATCCAACTTTGATTGTCACAACATGCAACGTAATTTCATAGCAAAATAGTACATCAAGAGCTTTACTGTGGGGCAGCTGAAAGTGGCCAGAATATATTCCCTGAGGCTCACCATGGTACCAGCTCCCTTCTTACTGTGCCCAACAAACCCAGTTATCCTTCAGAAATGGAAAAACAAACCCCCAACTCTGTCCACATGAAGTGTGTCTGCTAAAATGCACATTACTGAAAAGGCAAGGTCAAGGGCGTGCAGTTGCCTGCTCCTGTTCAGTATTCAGCACTTTGGCATCCACGAATACACTTTGAAGTCATTCATCAGACCTGTTATCCTGAGAGACTCGGGGACTGGCATACAGATGGCTGAGTTAGAGTCTGGGGGAAGCTGCATGGGCAAGGGTTCTTTCTTATCACAGTCATCCTTACATTAGCCTTGCTTATAATCCCCCCTCCAATCCCAACGTTGGCAAAACTCTTCTACCTGAACTTTAAAGCCCATTTATCCTTTAACTGTGACAGGGATCTATGCAGATTCTGGATCCATCATTTGCCTATCTAGAGACTGGTGTTTTTGGTTTTTGTGTCCAATAAGCTGTCTTGTTTTTCCTGAGAAAAGCACAAAAGCAAATTGGATGCTACAAACTAGCACTAGAGGGCAGAATAGCTCAAGGTTCTGAGAGAAGGGACATGCTCCCTCCAATATTTTTTTGTTTCCTTTGAGTGAGTGATAATCTTGCAAAATTCCACTTTCACAGGCTACTCCTCTCTGCCCAGAACTTGAATCCATCAGTCTGGCAACCAAAGCTTCTCATCATCTCACTCCCATCTCTCCTAATCGAGGTTCCCAGAAGGAAGGGAAGTTCTGCCCCCGACACCTACGTGTCCTCATTATGCCCTGAAGGAAGTTGGTCCCTCCCTCCTGGGCACTCCTGCCTGGAATATATCCCTCTGCTCCTCCCACTATTCCTTCTTATGCCAAGAGAAAGCCCAGCCATAGCACTCCTGCAAGCTCCACCTCAGCTGGGAAGACTCCTGTAGAGACTGGAGAAGCCTCATTGAGTTCTCCAGTCTCTAGTCTCCTGCAGACACTGATGACTTTATCCTCCTGTTATTTAGTTATTTGAAGTGTGAGAAAGAGTGTGTATGTGTGTGTTTCCACACCTAAACTGAAAATTCATGAAGGGCAGGGATTGTGGCTTAAACGTCCTTTGTAGCACTTTATGTAAATATTTAAATAACTCCTGAATAAACAAAAGAACATTACTCACATTGGCAATGGTGGAAACAAATAACATAATGACGGTGGCGATGTGGACCACAAAGATGCCAGCCAGTAATACCAACATCTTGGCTTTTTGATGACTTGGTGAGTTCGGAGTCCTGAGAAGAAAGGAGAAAACAAGAGGGAAACTAAAGGTTACTACTGTCAGAGGCAAGAAGATAATTCAGCTTTCCCACACCTGTGGCCTATCTGCTACAATCTGAAGACGCTGCAATAAAAACCGTCACAATTTCATCATAAATTCCTAAAAACAGTTAGCCTGGTTCCCTCCGTGCCTATTGGTCTATTGACATATACCTAAATATAAACACAATTCTGCATCTCAGGTACTTATATACCCATCTCTCCAAAACAGCCTGTTTCCAAAAAGGACATTTTATAACTGTTACTACTTTATTTCGTTTGTGTTTTAGAGGCCAAGCGTAGGACTTGGATTTTTTAAAGGCCTCCTGACAACTATAATTTTCAGTGCAGCAGTGTCATATAAATTTCCGTTTTCCACGAGGGCAGTGCCCTTGCCCCTGTCAAACTGTGCATCCAGCAATTGTCATAGAAATGGATGCGTCCCACAGAATAGCAGCTATTACTCGGTGTCCATAGACTGAAGAGGCGACTAATTGGATCCCAGGTGAGATATACAATGTGAGAGCCACAACTTCTATTATTACCGTGCTGTTTGGTATTCAATAATTATAACAATGTAATTGCAGTTTAACGGTCTGATCACCTACATTTGACTATTTCAGACTTGTATCACTGCGCCTAAGCTTTGGGCTGTGTGTGCCCCATGGCGGGGAACCTGCTATTGGTCTGGGAGCCGTGTTATATTCCCCATGAGTCAATATGACAGTTTTGGGGGCTCTAGAAGCAGGCAGCTTGGAATACCACCAAATGTGCCTTCTATGCGTGCGTGACATTTATACAGATTCCAGTCCTTCAAGAGTTAATGCAGAAGACAGGCAAATGCATAAATCACACGGTGGGAGAATTGGGAACTAATATAGATTAAGAATGTACGTGGATAAACAAAAGTGTTCAGCCATAATCTCAGCGGTGTAGAAAAGGAGAGCCCATTGATCGTAAAACCCAGGACATAAGGGAGTGTGAAGGATGCACATTGCTCTTCTGGTTTATGTCAGCTGCGGGAGTGCTGTGTAATGCCCAAACAGTCACATGCAGTGCAGGCCCCCAGGGACTTCAAAGAAAAGGGCTCGGCTTATTCACACCCTAGCAGCGTGGGACATGTGGACTTCCCCACCTAGGGGCTCTGCACATCCTGCAATCGGCCCACGTCTCTCTCTCACTCCACCTCATTTAATTGAAGCGTTGAGTGTGCTTGAGCCACTTTCCTACTGTAGCAGGTATTTATTGAAGAGCACTAATTCCAGCACTTCAGGTGCCTTTTATCTCTGCTCAGGAAACACTAGAGTGCCTTGCTCTTTACAGGCCAAGCGTGAGAGGCAGACACTTCCACACTTGCTCCAACAAGCCCCGCCCTTCTCCCCAATCTAAGCACTTCCCTCCCACCCAGGCTATTTTGTAGGAATTTGTCCAATTTCACTGTGAGTGACAAAAATGATAAAGTTTCTCCTGTGGCCTCAGGGGAGAACTTGGAGCTTTCATGTGTCTGCTGTGAATACTCTCTCCAGGACTTCAAATTCATTTTTGCTTTTCTCAGGCTCTTACACACCTCCACGATTTTCTGCTTGACTTTAATGCACCGTGAAAAGAGGTTTTGGAATTAGACAGAGGTTGAGTTAGACTCATATAAAGTTACTTGACCTTTTGATCTCAGTTTCCTCCTATGTGAAGTGGAGGATTGCAACAGGGAAATATGAGGGTTAAATTGGATTATATATGTGAAACTCCTAGCACCGTGCTTGGCACATGGCAGGTACTAAGGGGGTTGCTTTGGTTGCGGTTATAACTATGATTATTATATGAAACTGTTGCCAACCCAAACCAGTCAATCAGTCACCAGGCTGCCCCATGTTAAGTGCAAGTAATAGGATATCTGCCATCCAGGTCACAAGGGCGTGTATATGCAATCATTCTTACAAGTTGCCATTATGACTAACCTTGCCGCTTGAGTGGGAGACCTCAGGAATGAGGAGGAGAAAGTTCATTCTTCTCAGCCTTCCATGTCTTTGGGGACTCAACAGCATTTTCTGTCTGCCTGATTTATACCTGGCCACACCCTCCATTTTGATGACTTGAACATCATTGCATTCCAAATATCTTCCTCCCCCTGCATCCTCACCTTGGCCCATCCACACACCCCTGGGGCACTCGAGTTCCTGGCCTGCACATCTCACTTCTGATCTAAACCACAGCCCTATCCAATCATTGTCTCCTGCCCAGTGCAGGCAAGAGGAGAGGTTGGGGGGGGGGGTGAAATCAAGCAAATCAGTGACTCTCTTTCATCATAGATTTCTGTGATTGTGTTCATCTACTCACCAAGGAAAGGAGCACATTGTCTTGGAATGGCAAGTGTTCTTAGTGTGCAGAAAACACAATTTTCTCTGCTTTTGGCCTCTGGATACAGCCAGAGGTAGTGGCTGTTTAGTGGAGCTATCACTTTATACCTATAACTTCATCTTTTCACTGCCCCAAATTTGTCAGGTTTTTTAGTGTCATCCATTGTCAGTGTAGAAAGGCTTCTATTATTTTCAGTGGCCCTCCCAACATATATGGAAACAGAATGAACTGTATCTTTAAATTTCTGGCCTGGATCATTCCTAGTTATTCAGTCCCTATAATAATGACCCCCAGGAGAGAAACCCCCAGCCTAAGGAAGTTGGGTGGGAGACAACCCTTAGATCTTTAAGGATGAGTGGCACCTAATGGGTGAATGTCTGGGGATCTAACAAAGAGCAGAGTAGATGGGTTTAAATAACAGCAGATCCTGATCTCTCAATTTCTATACACCCATCACTTACAGTGTAGCTTCCAGGGAGACTCATTTCCTGCCCTGGTGTATATCTTGCTTCATAGCATTAAAAAGAGACCATTTCTGAGCATTAATATCATTGGAAGTATTGGTTGCATGTTCCACTAAAACAATAATTGACTTCTCCCTCACACCTCTCTAAAATGCCGTGGATGGCACTCTCAATGCAAAGCATACCCCTAGTCATAGCTGGGCAGCTTGAACCAGGAAGTAGACAATAACAATATTGCAATTCTGACTACTTGGGTGCAATGCCTGCCTCTCTCCCAGCATTTTGTGCACTGGGCAGTCCCAAAGTTTGTCGGTTGGTTGTTGGGAACTCCCATAACAATAGGGTTATTTGTGGTGCTTAGACTCTCAGATACAGGCCACCAGAGCTAGTCAATGCACAGTGTCCTTAAAGGATAGGACATCCACTGACTATACTATGTGGGGTTCCAGGAACACATTTCTCCACCCACCATTGTAAGCAGAGGAAGATCTCCTCCTATACCCTCACCAACCCAACATGCCAACACAGGTTGGTCACGCTCCATAGGGCTGGGTGGAAAACTGAGAAAAATATAGGAGGCATGAATGTTAACTCTAGAGAGAAGTGACTGCTAAGAGAAATGGAGGTAAGAGACTAACAGCCACACATGGGTTCTCTGTTATCCCTCCTAGATTCTTCTTTCTGCCCTAAGGCACAGGCCTGCCAGTTCCTTTTCCACCACCACCATTTGTTGTTTCTGACTACGCTTCTCCTTTCCTCCCCACAATGCCCAGGCCACATTAGAGAAGCTGTCTCTTTATGCACCTGTCCCAGATACAAGCCTCACAACCATTCTAGATCTGGGTTAACTTCTTGGCTAATAGAAAATGTATTGCAGTTCCTGGAAATGGCCCTGAGGATTACAATTGCTGGTGATGGAGGCTGTAAATGATGACCTCCTGTGGGCAGGGGGATAATTGCCCTCCAGTTGCCTCCATCCACTTAAGTGATTGTTGGTTTCTCGACTCCCTCTTAATACCTTCCTCGCCACAAATGAAAGAATGGAAGGAACATAGCTCGGAGACTGCCTTGCATTGATTGCCTCTTTGCCTTTGTTTGGGAAACCTAACACTTTTAAGGTCCTCAGACTATGAAAAATTTATCAGGCCCTTGTGGACACCTTTTCTTTTTTAATGAGAAACTAGTACTACGGAGACTTTAAGATAATCGACTCCTAAAAATGTTGGTCATTTGGCTTCATGTTTGCTAAGCTCCGGGTCAGATAACTTCTTCCTGCCGTGTTGTCTGTGTGCTTATTAAGCTGCTATCAGAGTCTGGGGGGAGTAATTCTTTAAGGGTGATCTGTGGTACAATCATTGGGAACAATACAATAAAACAGAGTAACCAAAAACCTACTTCTCCAGCAAAGGAAGTGGTGGAAATCCCGGGCTTGAGTCATTGAGGAATACCCTGAGCCTGGCGGTATAACATAATCAGAAACAGGGAGCCGGGGCCCTGTGAGCAGCAGGAGAGTCCCGCAGAGCTCCAATGTCCGTGATTCATCGGAGAGTGGGTGAGATTCTCCCAGACAAAGGCTAGTGGAGATATCCTCTACCAGATGGCGCAAGAGAGCTTTCTGGGAAGCCTGAGGCGCGGGCTGGCGGGAGAAGGCAGTTTGGTCATTTCCCTGGCAGCCCAAGATGGCCCAGGCTTTTCTGGGGAGAAGAGAGTAGTAACAGCCAGATGCTAAGTTCCCTGTTTCTCCTTCCTCTCGTCCTGCTTTTATTGCCCAAAACATCACAGTCCGGCCATGAGTTGTTCCTCTATTATTTATCTCGCATCCATTCTTTACTTCCCATTGTCCTTGTCCACTTCATGTCGTAGCCAGGACCATAGCATCAGCCCAAGGTCCTTTTCCTGAACAACCCCTCTAATATGTCCTCCACACTACCAGTGTGTTATCTGACCATGTTACTCGTCTGTTCAAAATCCTCCAAACTCCCCACCACCAGGAAAAAGAGACTCCAAACCCTGCAGGCACTCCGGCCCTGGCAATCCTAGGAATGTGGGGATCCCAGGAATTGGGTTTCAGAAAGAAAAAAGCATCCTTTCTCCAGGAACTACCTATCAAATTCTTTTCAAAAAAAATTCAAATATTGCCCCCTCTAGGAAGCCTTCCCAGATACAGAGGCCAGAAGTCGTCATTTCCCCCTGTTATGCTGCAGCTCTTCCATTGCCCTTTATGAAAACCACTAGTGGCAGCTATTTTTGGAAATGTTTGGCTCCCCCATACTGAAGACCCTAAGTTCCTGAAGGAGGGAAGCTTCTTGTGTATGATAGGTATCGAATCAATATCTGTTCAGTGAGCAAATAAATATTTTCTTCTTGATAGAAAAATAATCATTGTCAAAGAGACTGAAGATTTTATAATAAAAAACAGAATTCTAGAGGGAAAATGTTTCCTTTTAAAACATAAACTTTTGTCCTTGTTATTTTTAGAGATTATTTATATATTACTATAACTATGTATTGAGCATCTTATTACATGCAAACTCTTGTTATATATTTCCATATAAAAACCTATATAAACGTATGAATATCTCCTCAGTACATTTGACTAGATAGGGGGTATATATGTGCTTATTGTCCTTTATTCCAGAGGAAATAAGTGAGTGAAAAGATAATACCTTAAATTTCTAAACACTAATTTGTCCACAGATTTAACTTTTCTAATTCAGTTACAGAATCTCTGGACTGCAGTTCCTCCCAAGTACATGAAAACTCATCTACAAAGCTACACCAAGGAACTATCTAACTCAGGTTTAAACTCCTCTGGTCACGGGGAGTTCACTACCTTCCAAGACACACACACACACACACACCCAAAGTAGGAAGGTCCTTCTGCAATGCATCAGCGTCTCTCTTGGCAACAACTCCCCTGAACTTCGTCCTGCCCTTTGTCTAATGCTTCCTCTTCAGCCCATTTCTAAAATGGTTACCTTTGCAACAGAACTTTCCGGTTATCAGAAAATTAGCCAGAGGGCACCACCTTAGGTTCCCAAATCTCAATCAGGTGAGAACACAGTCCTGAGAGACTCCGCCTTTTCAGTGGTTGATGTTTTTCCAGCAATGACATCCCACCCTCTTTCTGGATAACTGCAAACTTTGAAGAAAGCTTTCTCACACCATCTGACCAAAGGCGGGCTGCTTCCTCCGCGGCACAAGAGACGGTGAAAGCCAAGTTGTTCCTGGTCATATGATCTCCATGAGTCAGCCCGCGTCTCTGTCTTCGTGCCATCTTCCTCAGCATGACACCCGAAACTCCGAAACTCCGGCGGCGGCTGCTCCCTCAGGACACTGTGTAGGGTTGTGGCACGAACGTCTTCCCGGCCTCCACACATCCAGGTCAATTTTGCTTTTGTTGATTTGTTTTTGATGTGTTTGTTTCCCACCGGGGAGCATTTGCGTGGGCACAGTGGATGTCCATTTCACACAAAGGCAGAAAAGGAAATACTCTCTTCTGGAGCGGCCATAGAGGATGCATCCGGAGGAGGAAAAGGCTGGGATTCAAGTCAGGCCAGTGGATGAGACCTTGGATGAGCTTTTCTGGCCAGTGTTATTGTGGTTTGATATCAAGTGTACTTGCCATTCTAAATATTGTTTTCACAGAGGGGTGGGAGACGGGGGCATTCATTCTCCATGGGAAACGTGTGGAGAGAAAGCTCCTAAAGAACCATTTCCTCTTGCCCCGGGATATCTGACACTTGGTGTGGGAGGCAAGAACTCCGGGTTGCTCCTCACTATATACACATCATACCAGGCCTGATGTTTTTAAGTGCAGGGAAATTTTTATGACCTGGAGAAACATCAGCCATCAAGCAGCAAAAGTAACAAGGATCTCCATGCTCCAAGAAAAACATCTATTTTTTTCATGATCCTGGGGAAAGGGGACTGCACCTCCCAAGTGCAGGGTATCATAAATGGGGGTGACTATGGAAAGGGTAGTGTTTATTGGCACTGGTATAGACAGACTAACACAGACTCTCACATAGTTAGGGAGGAGGGACTAGGGGGCAGGAGTGAGGGGGCAAGCATGTTATTTTAAAAAGAAGAAGAAAGAGCACCTATTAGAAAACCAGCTTCTCATGAAACTTCAGCCTGACCAGCTGCTGACTGTGGGAAAATCACAAAACCTCCCTGGTCCGCGGCTCCTAGAGAGGCAGTACCTAATGGTAAGGCTCACAGGTTTGCGGTTCAAATCCTGACTCTACCACTTCTTTTTTCTCTTTTTTTAATTTCAGTTTTACTGAGGTCTAATTGGCATATAAAATTGTCAGACATTTAAAGTATACATCGTGGTGATTTGCTGACTCCATGCTTCTTAACTGTGACCTATAAACCTCATAGGGTTGATGTGAGGATTAAAGGGCCATGCCCGACACAGAGCAAAGGCTATATACGGTGGCTGGTTATTCTTTTTGATCAATTATGTAAAATGAGAGGCTTGGGCCAGCGAAATGGGCTTTCGGCTTCCCTGGCAGAATCTGAGGACCAACATCTACGCTGAAGGCAAACAAATAGCATGAATCTTGTTTTTGCAAATGCTCCCATGGAGAATTCCGTGTCTCTCTTATTTCCCCTTGTCCAGGGAGGGAATGGGTCAGGGCCACATCTGCAAAGGCTGAGGCCAGGCTTGGGCTGTGAAGAGGCAGCCAGCCCACGCCCCCAGACCGCAGCTGGTCAGGCCCTAGGGCGAAGTCTCCCAGGCGAGGACGGAAGCATCAGTGTCTTCTGCTGCTGACAAAGAGGAGCGCTCTGGCAGCCAGAAAGTCTTCAAGGGAGAAGTTGCCAAAATAATAACTAGGGTTTGGGAAGAAAATCAAGGTGTGGCCCGGGCCCAGGGGCGCTTGGGCGGGTCGACAGTAGATGGCGGCAACATGCTTCAACCAGCAAAGCTGCAGCCTTGGGGGGTGGCAACGAGCAGGGAGGGGTGCTGCCCCTCAACCGGAGGTGCCCAGAGAGCACTGGGTGGGCTGCGAGTTTTGTCGCTCTTTCTTAGGGCAATTGGTTGTTTAGAAGTTCAGAGGTGGTTAAGTTATTCAGTCCAATCCCTGGACAAAGGAGGAAATGGAGTCCCCAGAGGGAAAGCAGAATGAGAACTGAAGCCCACCATCTCCCGCCATCTAGGCAGGCCTCTTCCACTCCTGTGTGATCTCGCTCCTATCTTGGTCTTAGAGTTCAGCAGAAGTTCCCAAACTACCCTGTTCCCCCTGCTACCTCCTAGTCAGTCAGGGAGTCAATACAGCCCCTCAGAACAGTGCCACTGGCAAAAACAAAGGGTCTTTCAAGGGCCACTGCTTCTTCCCGCCTGGCCACCAAAGGCCCAGACCCATCCCCACACTGCAAACCCTGAGATGAGCTTCAAACATTCTGTCCTGCCCCCCACCCTCAGCACGGAGTCCCCTCCCCACGGAATCACAAAGTAAAAGGAAGCTCCAGGCCTCAGCCCTCTCTGAGCTAAGTGTGAACACACCCACTGGCCGGACTCATTGTTTCAGCATAGGAATCCTCTCTCCAATAACCTATAGCTCCAGCCCATGGAAGAGGGGCCTTTGATTACTTGAAGAAAGAAGTCTATGGATCAAGGACCTCATTTGGCTCTCAGCTCTGATCTGAAAAGAGTTGAGAAATGTCTGGAAAATCACTGACCTATTGGCACAATATTCCATGGAAACACAAATGATACCAAGGATGTATTGACCAACATTTGTGCCTGCGCAACTTAAGATTCTTCACCGGGCACAGTGAACAGAATGTTTGAACCTGAGGAGTGTCCTGAAACATGAAGGGTGTGTGATCCCCAAACAAGAGGGAGGGACTTAGGAGTGGAAACATCCTCACACTTCTGTCTTGCTCTTTCACCTCCTTCGTCTTTCTCTGTCCACTTTGCTTTTTCTCCCTCTTCTAAGCCTTTCCATTTCCCTCTTCTTTGTCCCAACACACAGGGCCCTAGGGAAACCCAGGCAGTTCCATTTGCTCCCTCCTCTGCCCTTTCCTCCTAGTAGCTTCCCTTTCCTCCTCTCAATTTGTTCCTCATTGGCTCCCATCCACACCTTAACGGCCACACCCTTACGCTGCAGAGTCTCCCTCCTTAAGAAGAGGGTGGAGTTCCTTTCCCAGGACCTGCTCAGTTTCTCCCTGAGCCTGATTGGGTGCCTGGCTGCTCTCAGTCTTGACAGGCTTAGGTAGCCTGCCCCTCCTCATTTGAGCTGGCTTCTTTGTGTTTTATTAATCAAATCTCTTCCTTTTCCCCCCAGAGCTGAGTGAGTGCTCATTGCTATTAGATGATGAAGCTGGAAAACCCCATGCTTAAGAAATCTCCGAGTGGATGAAGCAGAAGAAACTACCTGGGTCCTCGATCCTCTAAAATGCTTGCTTCAATGCAACAAGTTGCCTCGTTTCACTTTTCTACCAATTTTTATGGATTAAACTAGCTATGAGCATGAGCCAAGGATTTCTCAAGATAGGAATGTTAGGACCTTGGGACAATAAAATTTCAGAGCTGCACAGGCCTTGGGAACCCCCAAGTTCATTGAGAAGACAAGTGACCTAACCATGTTCCCACAGCAGAGTCAGGACAGGATCACAGCCCCTTCGTCTTCCTGTTCAATGTTTGCATCTACTCCAGGATTTCTGCCACCAGTTTCAACCTATGCCTAAAGGGTTCTCAATTTCACCTTCCCCGTTGCAAGACAGAATTCATGAAATAGGCTCAGAAAACACAAAAACTGCCGCACCCACATAAGGCCACCAGCATTAGAGGCTGAGGAGTCCATTTTAGTTCCAGGAAAACACCATTTCCACAACAGGAAAGAAAATGTTGATCCAAATATTTTGTTAAAAGGGAAGAGAAACAGCAACATCCATGAGGATTTGTAGTTTTATCTTTATGCTTCCTATCAGTGAATCTTCCAATTAAATTGAGAGCAATGACTTTACCTAGCCGGCGCCAGGGACCGAAGGGTTACCAAGTATGATCTTGAGACATTGTGTTTGGGGTGGGGTGCTGGGAATTCATTAAACTACTAATCAGAACCATATTTGGCTCCCTTGGTCACTAAATAGAAATCAGAGTCATCTGGGCAGAACTGGGAAGAGGATTGGAAATGGGAAGTTCCTGGTCAGAAGATCCCAGTCCTGTACTGGTTAAGGATGATGAGCTCCCTCAATGGATTGACATCCAGATCACCTGCCAGCAATTAGACCCAGGTTACACCGATTGGCAGCCTGTTCCCATAGTTACCATGACAGGTGGTAACAGTGTAAAGGCACAGGCTACAGGAACTCTGGACCAAGTTAAGGGACAACCCCCACATGGCCAAGTTAGAAGCCTCTGTGTCTGGTATTAAATTGATTTAACCATGACCTTGTGGGGAGCAATTGGGTGTGTCCCCCTGAGTATGTATATCTGAGAGTCCCAAATGTCTCTGAGCTTTTGTATATACAGGTGGTAAGTTAAGGAACCATATTCATGTGTAGAAAATGAAATACCTCGGACTCAAATCATATGGCTATGCTTTACTACGTGCATAGTTTCAACAATTCAAAATGTTTCCTGCTCCTTTGCTGAGTCTCAGGCAATAATATTCATAGTAATCAAGTTTGATCCATTAGCAATTAAGTAAGGGTTAAATGTTTAGAGGGTAATATGCATTGGGTGGAGCAGCAACAACAAAAATGGAATATATTCTGGGTCGCTTCAGGACAGCAGAGCTTGGAACAAAGAATAGAAGTTCTAGAAACCCAATTTCGCTGGATTTAAGAAACTCTAATCATTAGAGCTGTCCAGCAAAGGGGGGTGGGCATGGATGTGCACTCTGAGATACCGAGCCTCCCACCCCCACCCCAAAATGTTAAAGAAATGTCAAATGGCCATCTGTCCAGGGTGGTGTAAAAATAAGATTTCTGCATATTGTAGGAGAATGGAAAAGTGGCTCTTCAAGATCCCTCCCAAACTGAGAGCAAAATTAAGGATGGAATATAACTAAATTTGTCCTGTGCCCTTTTCTCTGGCCATTTTTTCAGATGTGTTCCCCATCAGGCCCTGATGAGCCTATAAAAAGCTGTTTTCTTCTTCCTGCGGGACCCATTGATCTCAGTGGTCCGGCATGAACCAAAACCCACAGAGCCAGCCAGACCAAGCCAAGACGGTCTTCATCTCCAGCACAGCCTTGGTGAAGCCCATTCGGTAACCAACCCCCCCCCCACCCCCCATGTCTGAATGTCTCCCTGGGAACTGCATGGGCCCACGCTGGTCTCAGGAGGGAAGTGGGAAGGGTTGGGAAAGCCACAGTGAGTCTTTCCAGTGGTCTGTGGAAGGATGTCCTTCCTTCCTCAGAGGTCTGCCCTGAACTCCTGGGAGGTAGCCAGCGTCTGTTCTGAGATGTGATCTGCCCTGGGTTGGTCCTTGACGGCATTCTGACAACTCCCAGGACAGTTTAGTGCCCTCAAAGCACTAATGTACAGTCTGGGGGGTCCTCTGACCAGGACGCTAGACCGGATGTCCTGCAGCCCTCCAGACAGCGCTCCGCCCCCGCCCCATTCTTCAGAGTCTGGGGTGGAATTCGATCCTCCTCTGAGGGTGAGAGGCAGCAGGGGAGGAGAATATAACCCTCACAGTTCAGCCTTGTCAAGGACTTCCAGCTGCGATCTAGAAAAACTGCCTTCGCTAAGGACTCTCACTACTTCTTGGAGGAAGAGGGGAAGCCGGGAATCAGAATTGCTTTTTTTTTTTTTTTTTCAGTTGCCCTCAAAGCCCAGGAAATAACACACAGCCTATTATCTCATTTATAAAACTACAGTATACCATCAAATGGGGCACGAACAATGCAATCCAAGATGGTTTACACCCAGAATTTTCCGTATTTTCTATTTGCTATTAGCTTATTAGTTTAACCCGTGCAACACGAAAAGATGTGTACTAACGTCATAGAATACCATTACTATCAACTTAATAATGGCTTTCCTAATCCACATCAGGTAATCTGGGAAATAAAAAACCTTTGAAGCAAGTGTGGGAGTTCCCTGCATCTCGAAAGTTGCCCTTGCATTTACTTTATCATCCCCTGAGGCAGTTTTCCCAGAAGCGTTGC